AGTTAGTTCAAAGCACAACAAAGGTATGATGTGATGCGTCCTATCATAATTACTGTTTGATATTTTTTCACATAATATACACGAGGAAAATACTTCCTATAAACTCATTCAGTACGCAGACGATTTTGTTGTATATAACACCGAAAAAAAATTACAAACTTGTATATTGTCTTTGGAATCTTCCATTGCATCAATAATTACGAAGTTTAACTTATTGGGATTCACCCTCATCCCAACCTATATTACATTTTTTACCAGGCACAATTTAATAAACATGAATAATGTCACAGTTCAACTGTACCGGACCAATTTCTTAAATAATTTGCTTTCCTCGAATGTTTCGTTTTCAGCCAATATAACAGTGCTTTAGCTACACTCAATGAAAAAATATACAACATAATTCTAAAATTCATAATTAAATCTAAAATATCAATATAAAACGTAGTAACTCGATTGATTCGAAAATTTGTGGCAAAATGAACTCCGGTTAGGTACCTTGGAATTATTTTAGACAAAAAACTCACATGGAAAACTTTCATTGAACACATCGCAACAAAATGCCGAAAAGGAATCAACTTTTTAAAGTTTTGCTTGACTTGCAGACTTGCCTGCTATTTTACAGAGCATACATTCGTTTCATCATTGATTATGGCAATATCCTATACGGATCAGCTACCTTATCAACTTTGAAAAAATTGGACATTGTTCAAAACTCTGCCTTAAGACTCTGTCTAGGTACCATGTGTTCAACACCCGTCGAACCGTTACGTGTAGAAGCGTCAGAACCATCACTTGTATTAAGGAGACAATTTTTGACAGAAAAATTCATCATTAAATCGGAAATCAAAACTCCTGGTGTCATACAAAAAGTAACCCAATTGAACATGTGTGATCTAACCAACAAATATTGGGAGAAAAAACCGTCCCCGTCTTTATATACTGCATATAGAAACAAACATAATATAATGGAAAACCCGAATAAAGGTAGCATAAATGGCATAGAAACTTTCAATATGCCCTAAATTCATTCACTATCACAACCCCTGTATATAGTGATGAACCAATTTTAAATAAGTGCATCCTGAATAGTTATATAAATAAATTTTCAGAGTACACATGCATATATACAGACGCTTCCAAACAATATGAAGGAACTAGTTGTGCATATTATATTCTTATTGCGAATGTGAGTGGGATAATCAAACTGAACCGATTCACTTCCATATTTGCAGCAGAAGTAATTGTTATAACCAAAGCACTTGAATATATAGAACAACAATTTATTGAAAAAACAATAATATCTGACTGACTGTACTATCAAAAATACCACAGCCTATCAACATACTTACATATCAGCTTAGCCCGCATATTCTGGAATTGGAACTTCTTATCAGCAGGCTCCATGAAGCTAATTTTGATATCAAATTAATGTGGATCAAAGCTCACGCAGGCTTAATAGGCAACGAGAAAGTTGTTGAACTTTCAAAGTCAGGCATCAAAACAGGACAACGCATTAAAAATGAAAGTGGCGCTGAAGAATGTCTAATCTTAGCAAAGAGTAGGTTCAAGCAAAATTGGGCAACAGTATAGAAAGAGTATTTTAAAAATTCTGCTACACAGTATACCCGTTTAGTACCAAAAATCCCAGTGGAAATATGGCACAAAAATGAAGTACGGACGGAAAACAATTGTCACAATAACCAGATTGAAATTCGGACATGCATACTATTCATTAATTTTTTTCAAAATAGAAATCGTTCATTCATACAAATGTGCCACATGTAACGTAATATCTGATATTGATCATATATTTTTAACTGTTCTGAAAGAAGGATGCAATTCTGTAATTGGTTTCAACTGAAGGTGCGGAATAACAATTTTGCGCACAATATTATTTGGGGAGATGAAACGACATTCACAAATTCTGGCATGTTCAATCGAAGGAACAAACATTTTTTTGTCACGGAAAATCTTCACCCAATTAATGAAGTTAGATATCAATAACGTTTTTCTTTGAACAAATGGTGCTGTTTGTTATAGCAGGGGAGCCCACGATGCAAAATGGGGATTTACTCGAGCGTCATAGAGACCTATTAGGTTGCAAAGCTTAGATGATGAGAAGAAAAAAATGTTATATAATATATACCTTTCCATCGGTGGGGAAAGCTGCTATAGATTATTAAATATGTAAAAAAAATGTTGCATGGACATACTCGAGCGCGTCAGATATTGATACCATCAATGTCCTACATATTTTTAATAATGTTGGTATGTTAATCTGATCGTTTGCATGATGTGGGTGGTTGTACGTAAAAAATGAAAAAAAAATTAATCGAGCGCGTCAGATGTTAAGTGCACCAAAAAAAGCTCTCATTCAATAATCTGACGATTTCGATCTGACGCAAACTCGCGGCCATTATCGTCATTTTGAAATACTCAAGCGCGTCAGATTAAGATATATATGGTTCATCTTTATGTTTTAGACATGCTGTCTCATAATCTGACGATTATCTAGAGGGATTCGCCTAATCTGACAAAAAAATATTTTTTTAATTTTTTTTTTCATCATTGAACTTAATTAATTGAAAAGCTCAGGAAATAGCAGGCAAATAAATAAGTGTATGCTTTCAAGTAGAATACTTGTATTTATAAAATAATAATTTAAAAAAAATGCTCAAAAAATTTAATTTTTTATAATCAATTGATTGATTAATGAAGAAAAGAGAAATGAAACTTTCTATGTTTTGTACCACTTTTATTTGTAACTAACGTTACTGCAGTTACTTATACAATATATCAGTTTGAAAATGTCCTTATAGGACGAAACTGCAGTAACGTTATTTACAAATAAAAGTGGTAAAAATCATAAAAAGGGTTAGTTACAAATAAAAGTGGTGAAAAACATAGAAAGTTTCATTTCTCTTTTCTTCATTATGATTTCCTACCACGTAGTAACGGCTACATCCATCAATTAATTGATTAATTAATCATCATCTTAATTTTTTTTTCATTTGTATGGCTGTATAAAACTCTTCAACATGTTGATACATCCACTACTGTAACATTTGATTAATGCCTTTAATCAAAATGATATGAAAATGTGTTTATCCTTTTTTATTGAAAACAAAGAATGTTTTGATTGGATTGTTTATGATTTAGTATTTTTTATGCTTGCTTTCTTGTAGTCAAAACATTCATCATTGGAGTTACATGACGCTACATTTTATACATGGTATTTCTTTGTGAATATTCATATTGACTTCGAAGAAAAAAAATTCTTATTTTTTTTTTGATAAATCGAGTGAACCTGAAGATCAAAAACTATGTTTTACTGTAAAAATTTCAAATAATGTATCGTAAAAAATTGTTTCAGCAAGAAATTGTATTGGTTCCGAATGTTGACTGATGAAGTGATGGTCATCACTATTGGTGAATTTCATTAGTTTGGACCATTTAATATGATATATGATTTGAAATCCCTGAAAGAGCAAATAAAATTGGAACTTTGAAAATAACAATTATATTAAGCAAAAAATCGTGAAATGAAATCACAACAAAATAAAAATAGAGCAGAAAATTGAACAACTGAAAATGAAATAAAAATTGAATCTTCACACATTCGTCGTCAGGTGATGACTGTACTATTCCTCCGAGAGATGACTATTTATAGCTCATTCGAGTGTTTTCACCTATCCCCTCGTCCCCCTCTCCACTTCACCGGTTTAGTGGGAGATGACCGTTTGACGGAAGTTGATCGTTTTCCGCTTGATTATGGGTTTCATATGTTGCGTATCTGTACGCTCGTTTGGCAGTGTTCCCCTGGGTTGGATGGTGTTTCGTAAACTGTTGAAGTGAGAGAGGGAAGAGGGGATAGGTGAAGACACTCGAATGACATATAAATAGTCATCTCTCGGAGGAATAGTCCAGTCCATTCAGTCGAGGAATCAGCGAGTTTTTGATAGGGCGGAAACTCACGAAAATCCGTTAGTTAGGGAAGCTATGGATTATACTGTAGCCGACCCCTCCCAATATAGAAGGTCACTCTGTCGAATAAGGCCCTCATGTCCCCCGTTAACGGACGAATAGCTTTTTCATCCATTCCACCCCAGCCAGGTAGGGGTACCCCGTAAAGGGCGGTACTGATGTCTGAGGGCTTCATACCGCCAACATCCTCTCAGTCATGAACCATTTGTCCTTCTTCGACAAAAATCAGCTAAAAGGGTGAAGGAGCTGGGCTTCAGCCTGATTGAAATGAAGACGCTTGGTCGGTCGAATAGTTCAGTCATCACCCAAAGACGATTGTAGATACTAACAGTCGAAACGTCTTGAAGTAACTTGACTAGAAATCTTTTAATTTTTAATGGTTCAATTTTTTGCGCTCCGCGGTTTCATCTGCTTTTTTTCAGTTCCAGTAAGAATGTTGAAATAAAAACTAACAATAATATTTATTATTTAATTTTACAGTACTAAAAGTAATTGAAATTGAAATCAATGAGACGTTTGACATTGTTTATTCTTAACTAGCTTATCAATATCAGTCCCTATGGTGGTCGTTGAAATCCTCAAACTGTTTTCAAGGTGAATATCGGTGATTCTACTCATTGTCTTCGACTTAACGTTTTTCACCCGAGAAAATAACTGCTCGCACAGGTATGTGGTACCAAACAGAGATGTCATTTTCAGTGCATGGTCTCTTATCTTAAGAAAATGTGTAGAAGTGATGTATTTTGAATAGAACTCGAACAATCCTAAGTTGAATTTGTCTTTCAAAGAAGAGTTGCATTGTAATTGTATCAACTCCATCTGAACATCATCAGGGACATCTTCGACAGAAACATTGAATGGGTGAGCAAACAAATTCAAGCTTTTTTCATGTTTTCGGAAATCGGTAAAACGCGACTCGAATTGTGTTTTCAGATCCAGCAGCGCGGTAATATATTTGTCCATGTTGAGAATTCGACATGACGATAAATGTGGAAAATGCGTGGTCATATTATTTTTTAACTGATGATCCACAATTCCAACTTCACTTCCAACGCTTTTAAAGCGTCAAATAGTTCATGAACCATATTATCTTTTCCTTGCAATTTCTTATTTAAATCATTGAGATGTGCTGTTATATCAACAAGAAATCCAAAATCACTTAGCCATGCTTCATCACCAAACTGTGGAATAGCTTTATCCTTATTAAGCATAAATGCTGCAATTTCTTTTCGCAAATCGAACACCCTTTTTAACATTTTTCCTCTGCTAAGCCAACGAACATCACAGAAATAGGTAATGTCACCATATTCGGCGTCTTGTTCTTTTAAAAACTCCTGAAATTGCCTGTGGTTAAGAACTCGAGATTTGATGAAGTTAACGGTTTTTACCACAACACTCATAACGTCTTGAATATTAACTGACTTAGCACTTAAATTCTTTTGATGTATGATACAGTGGCACTGTATTAAAGAGACATCGGGATTATTTTTCTTTATTAAAGCAACAAGTCCTTCGTTTTTTCCAACCATAGATGGTGCGCCGTTTGTGCAAATTCCAGCCAAATTTGATAATTTGAGTCCATATCTATCTATGACGGAATTGAACGATTCCAACACATCACATCCGCTTGTACTGCCTTTCATAGGAAAAAGAGCAGCCATTTCTTCGGTAACGACAAAATTAACGTCAATGCCGCGAATGAACACTGCCAGTTGAGCGGTGTCAATTATGTCGGTACTTTCGTCGAGTGCAATGGAGTAGTAAACAAATTGCGACACGCGTTCCTTTAATGATCGTTCGATATCATTAGCCAATTCTTCTACCCTCCATGCGACTGTAACGCCGGAGAGACTTATTTTGGAAAAAAGTTGCTTTTGCGAGGGACATGAAACTTCTGCTGCAGCCTCCATACATTCTTTTATGAATTCACCGTAGGTAAATGGTTTTGACTTCTTAGCAATTTTCTCCGAAATTATGTAGCTAACTCTTACACTTGCTTCACTATCTTCATTTTGTTTGTGAAAAGAATTCTGTTGTTTTTTAAGTTGTTTCTTCAGAGTCTCCACGTTATCAATTTGTAATTGTCCTTGAAGATGTGCAAACTTACTAGAATGTTTTGACTCATAATGACGCTTGATACTGTATTCTTTCACCACAGAAACTGATTCATTACATACGAGGCAAATGGGTTTTCCCCGACACAGACGAAAAGATATAAATTCGTCCATTTATCTTGAAAAACTCTGTGTTCATCAACGACCTTGCGTTTTCTACTTGAACTTGCTGCCATCACAATAATTTGATATTACTAAATCAAGTTACAACTTGTTTTAACGCACTGAACGAGCGAATGAGATAAACGCGTCCGAAGTTCTGTGAGATGCAAACTTGACTGACATTGCTTGCCGGCCGCGCGCGCCACTGCGTTTCGGCGACTTCCTCCACCCGCACACCGCACCGTGAGCCCCTACCTGCCAAGCGCGAGCGCGGAAATCAGTTTTGGACTACGCGCGTTTTATTTAACCTATCTGATGCATGAAATAAATAAAATAACATATATTTTTGAATTATATAATAGAAATAAATACATAAAAACAATTTCTATACATATGAACCTCATTTTTAGTAAAGTAATGCCGGGCCGCCAAGGATGCGGCCCGCGGGCCGTACGTTGAAGACCCTTGACTTAGACTGTTTTCAACGTCCGTAACATCACGCAAAATGAAATACTTATAGCTATTCAATCATTAAAACTAAATTAGCCCTAGGCATTGATATTATTCCAATTTACTTTTTTGAAGCTTATGCAGAAATCTTACTTGCCCATTACAGATTATTTTCCATACATCTTTGAAGAACAACATGTTTCCCAACAGAGTTAAAATCGGTCGAATAACACAAATACACCACAAGTCAGGTAATAATAGGGGTCTCAAAAGAAAATTTATATTAAGTGGGTCGATTAAAAAAAATAAGCCGTGTTCAAGGATAAAACACAAGCACTACATGAAAATCCTCAAGGCGCTCTAAAAGCGTTGCCTGTGCGAAAGTAGCAATTCACGTTAGATTTGAATCGCTGGAGATTGAATCCATTTGGAAAAACGTTCTCAGGAAGTTTGTGCCACTCCAACGCAGTTCTCCAAGTAAAAGAGATCTTGACCAGTGAAAATCGTGGCATAGTGAGTTGAACCTCAACGATGAACAGCCACAGTCCGTCGCGTATTTCTGATATGTATTTTTCTTGGTGGAATCAAATGTGTCAAGTCACTTGAACACCTCTCGTATAGCTAAATGCTTTTCGGCTGACTGTGTTACGCCTTTACTACTCATTTGAATTTAATTTCAATTTAATATCATTACTTTTTTTACCCTGCTGCTTTCTGAAAGTATTTCATTTTGTATTTATTTGTAATATTCAGACCGCCTCCATTTGTAACTATATCGCGTACCCACCGTATTTCAAAAACAGTCGGGAGTGCGAGAGAAGCTGCCCAATTGATGCATGAGAAAGGTGTTGCTGTGAAAACCTACATGATTCGAAACAAATTGCTGAAATTCTGAAGGTAAGCACAGCCCGATTCGATTTAAAATATTTGCTCTCTCTGTTTACCAAAATTACGCAAAAAGACAATATTCAAATTCATGTCACAGAAAATACAGTCCACATACAAATGTATTTATGATGCACTGTTTGGAACCTTTGGTGTAAAACAAGAAAGCCTTAAAAAAATTTTTTTTCGGAGAATATTGATAGACACTTTCACGGAAAAATATTGCAGCTTTGGAAGACTAGGGCCTTTGAAAAACTAGTGCCGACAGATCAGTGGTGCTTCTTTCTTTTCAACATGCTACTGAGAAGTCTCAATTCCAAAACGGTTTCTAGATTTAAATCAGAAATCAGTTTAGATTAAATTCCCACATTTATATCGTCGGTAAAGTTTGTAACGAAACAAGTGGCAGCCCCTCAAACAGTAAACCTCGTAATATATCTTCAATTCCGATTTCAAAATCCACCTCTGAACGTGTTTCTTTTCATACTCATACTATAACTAGTTGCCCATAGTGTAACACCGATCATCTCATTTGCAAATGTCCTCAGTTTTTCTCCATGTTCACCCGCGAACTTTGCACTTCACGTTCACATATGGAGTGTGGTCAATTTCATCACATAATATTACATTTCAGCTGATTAACGGCAAAACAAATTTTTAACAGATTTTTTTTTAAACAGACTCTTAATTCTGTCAAACGAAAAAATTGCAGCCTGCCTCCTCAGCAGCATTCGTTAGTCGATTCCCTTTCACTGATAATTCTGCTTTACTTCTGCTGTATAAAAATTGGAAAATTTTACATAACATATGGTAACATAACATTTGGTAATAATTGTTCAGGTAGAATTTAGTTTATTTCTGTTTTGTTGGTTGCATAAGCTGCTAGGCTTGTTACTAAAATTAGATGTTCGTTCAATGATTGTAAATATTATTCCAGATTAATTAAAAATAAGAAATTAAGATTCTAATGATTCTATCCATCCACAAAAATGAACATTGAACAGTAGCCCTGTGAAATCAAACATGTCACACAAAATTCCCTAGATTCCCTAGAAAATTAAGTTTGCCCATAAAATAGTTTTTAGGAACCTTTTAAAAAAAATTAAGATATTCTTCTTATCCTCTCCGATAATCCTCTGTTCCAAGTACAACATTAGAACCTGTTTCAGATCCGGTAACACTATCCGTAGCAGCCTCACGAAAACCAGGCCCCCAAACGCGGACTGCGATTCCAAGAATTGCATTTACCGGATACCCTGTGAGTGCGGAAAATTGTATATTGGTGAAACTAAGAGGCCATTGAATGTTCGCATTGCCGAGCACAAGAAGCACACACAGCGAGGAGAAACCAGCAAATCAGGAATAGCAGACCATGTTTGGACCCATCAACACAACATCGAGTGGTCCCAAGCTGAGATCTTGCACAGAGAGGAAGATTGGTTCAGGAGAAAATTTAAGGAAGCCGCATACATGTTGTCCAACAACGTATTCAGCCAGGCCAGCGTAGATATACGAAACATATGGAAACCCATCATCAAACGAAAAATGACCAACTCCCGCCAAAACGGTCATCTCTCACGGAATCAGTGAAGCGGAAAATGGAAAGTAGAGAAAGTGAAAGTATTTCAACGACCTATAAAATAGTCATCTCTCGGAGGAATCAGTCCAGTCATCACCCGAAGACGATTGTAGATACCAACAATCGAAACGTCGTGAACTAACGTGACTTGGAATCTCTACACTTTTTATTTTTTTATTAATTTCTTTTTTCATTCCTTTAATTTTTATTTATTCAATTATTATATTTTTACTTGTAGGTTATTTCACTATCATTTCATTTCAGGTTTATTGTTGCTTAATATAATTTTTATTTTCAACTATTCTTTTTTAATTATCCTTTTTTACTTGTTTCAGGGATTTCAAATCATTTTATATAGTAGACAATGGAAGTCCGAACTAGTGAAATTCATCACGAAACATTGTCAATCACCTTCAAACGATACTTTACGTATTCTACACATTACGAATATGATGGAGAACGTATTCTGTACAATATGGTTTCTACGCTTTAGCGATATGATACATTGAGTTTATGATACAATGTGAATATGGTGTGATACGAATATGATCGGTTAACGTTTCTATAAGTACTTTATGTATTTGTACGTTATGACAAAGTACGTTCTGATGAATTGCGATTATGACGGCATTACGTATTCTGTATATTTCGATTATGGTCTTGTAGCGTTATGATGAATTACAATTTTTCTCCTTTGATGTTATGATGAATTAGATGGACCCAAACTATTGTAAGGCGCCTCTTCCCCAGGTCCATTCGATATTTCAAATCGAAATTCTGAAGTTGAGAGGTACAAAAAACTCTACACAATTGATTGGTAATGCATTTTTTAATTACAGATGATCATTAAATTTCAGAAAACATGCATAGCTATAAACAAATTAGGTACACTTTCTTCCAAGTCAGTGTATTACCAGTGAGTGGCGAGCCACTGGGCAAAGGTAGAGGGCGAGGTGGGATGATTCACTTGTCAAATACTTTTAACTAGAACATTGAACTGACAAATATTTATGAAGTATATAGTTTCTAATGAAAAACAATAATAATAACATAGACTCGCAAAGTGAAACCCCACCAAAAATGTCGTGATATTTTTCAAATGTTAGTTACATGATAAGGCTAATTTGTAAGGATCTCCGTGGAGTAGCGGTAGAGTTCCGGGCTTGTATAACAATGTATACTTTTGATGCTATTTTTTATTGCTTATGTTATGATAATATCCTTCTAGGGTGGTAACAAAATTTCTGAAGCATACGAGTATTCCTTCTGGTGCGTCAGAATAGGTCCGTCTAGTTACTAGACAAATCTATCTAGATTCTAGTAGATGATCGAGATTTTAAAAATAGGTTTCGAATCTTTATATTGACAAAAATATATTTGTTTCAGGAACGATGCCCGAAGATGGAGTACCTGATATGACAAGACTCACTATTCTAGATGAAGAACTCATTAACAGAAATCTCAGAGTGAGATATGAACATGACAAAATATACGTATCCTTTTTGTAGATCATCATTGTAAATTTCATTCTTCGAAGCATAGCCAATCAAAGTAGGTATAATTAACAGGATTTTGATGGCCCTCGAATGAACTTCACTCAACTTATGAAAATATAAAGCTTTCCCGAATTCGAAAACCAAAATACATACATATTTTTTCGTTCAACTCGATTTATTTGTATGTTAGACTGTCTAGGATAAATGCTCAAACTAAATTTTGATCTAATTTAACCCCTTTTCATAATATATTTTTTCGGCAACCCAGTTTTCGTACCCTCACGAATGGCAACCCTAATCTAAGGATTAATGATGTCTCACATTTTTACAGGCAATCCCTAGCACTGATCGGACGATACACAGTATAAACTGATCGTCCGTTTGTCGGGTTTGAATCATCGTTCACATGGAGGTTGAGTAAATGAGTAATCGCAACACTCACGCTGACCGGCTATCTTACCTCTTCTATACTTTTCCTATTTTAGTACCTACTCATACGATGAGAAAATACGAGTGCATTATTAAATTATAATCAACAATGTTCAATAAGTACAGCTTGTCAAATCTAAGAAGATACTTGAGAATTCTCTCTCTAGCTCTCATAGTCTTCTAACGAACACACATCTAGTGGGCGGGACCATAACGGAATTCAGAAAGCTCTTCCTACATTTGACAAGCTGCAGATACGTATAATTTATTTTTACTGGAATTATTCTGAGCAAAACTTATTTTATTTCAGCTAAGTACGCTTAAATAAAAGTTAGTTTTTAAAAATATGTTATTTACATTTTATATTCCGGTTAATTTTGATGAAGAAACAAATGCCTGAAATTTATAAAATAGTTATATGTCAGTAGAGGAGACTTGAGTGGAAGAAATGTTGATTGAAAAATATAAAAACGTGATGAGTGTAAAATTTGTGAGATTTTTCATATCCTCAAAGTATACCAAAACAAAAGTACTGACAATTATTGTTTTTTTTTTGGAACCTTTGGCGATAAATTTTAACCTTGAGAAGTTTTTATTTGTGAAATTATAAAACAACGATAAAAACAAAAACAACAATAAAAATTATTTGGCGCTCCTGGCGACTTCATTGATTCCAATTGATTTGCTTTTTCAGCTGCAGGAAAAGCCGGAAAAACCTGCAGCATCACATCGTCTGCCAATGTCCTCTCTTTCATAAAACAAAAAGTAGTGTGTCTCCACAGGCTCCAATAGATTCAATGCTTCGCCAGAACACTTCGTGACATGACTATCGTCAAATTTAAAACAGTTCGTTTCGTCTTTGACCAAGGCGTAATAATGACCAAATTCAACGCCAGAACCACAGTGAACAATGACTGCATGAATATTATAATAGTGGTCTGCTAGATTGAAATGTTCATCTATTTCGAACTTTCGAAAGAGTTTCTTGCTTCCGTTAGAGGTTCAGTCTTATTTAAAGATCATCAGTGTTATTATTAGATTGACTGGTGCCTCACCTATACTTGTATCTTTATAACAGTCAGTTTGACGCATGTTTGGCAATACAGTCGATCATCACCTGTTAAACATTCCATTTTCAGCTGATTTATTAATCAACTTTGCACGGACTGGTATTAGTCATATTAGGAAACGCTAGATGAAGTTCCAAAAATTCACATAAGTTTTCACAAGACGAGATGGACTGTACGGGAATCATACAATCCAGAGCGGTCAGGAGTATTGATTTTGCTATTTTTTTGCTCACGAAGAGTATTCAACAAGAACCCCAAGAAATCGGAACAATCCTCTTGTTGTCCTAACGAGTATCTAGTGGACTTCAGAGAGACTCCAGGAAATCGGTTGGAGGGAAACATGATACATTATTACGAAACTGCAGCTGCATGAACAGGTGTTTGAGTTTGATGAACAAGTTGGGAACATTCCCGTTCTCGTTCATCATTGTTCTTGAAATTCTTCGTCATGAACAACACTTGTAAAATGCTATTCATGTAGCAAGTATTTCCTAAATTATCCAATCCAATTTTCTTCTCTAAATTTTCAGGACAACTCTCCACTGATTCATAAGAAAAAACATGTTTCACATAATCTCCATAAGAACCATTTCTCAAGCTGCGATTGATCCTTCCAAGTGAAGAAGGGTTTCGTAGAGGGATCGATTCGGCTCTTGCTTCATGAAGCTCTTCCACTGAAAGGGAACCAGAACTACGAGAACTGCAACTCATATTTGGGGGGCAAGAATGACCTAAGTCCATTGACCGCACTTAAAAAGAAGAAGGTGGATCAATCACTTGTGAATTAACCTTGTAGGGGACTGATGAATATCCACATATCTCGGCTTGTTTCGAAGATATTTCAGTTCCGTACTGAAAGGGCAATGCATGATCTCCTCAAAATTATGTGAGAGAGGAATAGTTCCAAGGACCGAAGCAGCATTGCCACGTTGAATAGCAATACTAATTCTCTCAATCAAAAAAGAGGTAGAACGGTGATCTTTCGTTGCTTGGCCAATTCTCCTTCCGAGTTAATGAACGAATAACAGAGACTCCGGGCCATAAACACCAAAAGTTTCAACCGCTACTGGATGGAACAGATAGTTGTTACCAAGATTTTGGTATTTTTTTCTATTCAATTTCTCGCCAGACAATGCTGCAGTTCCAGCAGACTTCGAACTTCCGGCTAGATGGGAAGCCGCGACCGTGTCAACGCAAGTGAAGTCCCATACCACAGGTTTATCGTATTTCTATGGTATGAGAGACATACCATCTGGTGGTTTACCATCATCTCAACTGGTACCTAAGGGTTCCAGAATTGCAGGAACATCAGCTGACAACATAGCTCTTTTCAATATGTCATTCACTTGGTGATGTCGAGATATACGCCGTGCACTTCTCCTACAACTCAAACCATGTGTACCTTTCTCATCAACTATACTACCACAAACACAAGTATGAGGAACACAAATAGATGAACCCATCCTAAGTCCTACTGCTATTCTGAAAGATTCATCATCTATTAGTGTTCCAAGATATGCAACAGGTAAAGCATTCAGTCAAGCTGATCTATTGAAAACACTTTCCCCTTACCAGAACAAAAATGCTGTCTCTCGACGCATTTTTCGCTAACCAAGTTATCAGGAGATGACTAAAACTACTTCAAGCTATGTTAATTTTCTTATATGCATTTAAATGAATCACTATCTTGCATAATGGGGGTTATTAAATCTATTCCTAGTATTTTGTTATTGTCCTAATATTATTTACTACATAACTGATACCTTTTTTCTACCTGGAATTACGTACGAACAATGGGCTTTTAGGAATTGGACCATCATCACTGTTTATAGATCTCATTCCACATATTTACTTTCGGCGACATCTGAAAACTTGTTGCCATGTACTGGTCTCTACAATTTTATGCATTTTTCGCAAATATTTGAAACATGTTCCTTTTAGCGAGCTATTATAGTTCGATTGGTTAGACTTACTTAGACATTTTTTTCCGTCGTTTTGTCTTTCGGGGTGCTGAATACTTGTTGAAGTGTACGATCAGTTTGAAAGCCTCCATATTGAATTTTTCAAAAACTTCAACCAACCCGTTTGGTTTGTATGGAAGAACTTTTGAGTCTTCATCTTTCTAAAAAGTCAAAGATTTACGAAGGCACTCTAAATGTTTCCTTCCTAATTAATTAATTGT